ACACACACACACACACACACACACTACGAGTGGAAATGACAAAATAATGTTGAAAAGTTCTGGCATAGCCACCCATGTCTTCTGACATTCCAAAAGTGAATTTTAATCTCATTCACCCTCATACCTCATTCAATAGTCCAAAAATGTTACTTTTGATCATATTTATATAATAAAGATATAAGCTATGATTAAGAAATTATGGACTGAGTTGGTAGTTCTCCAGTAATCAGAAAACAAACAATTGAAACTGCATTTGTTCTGGGGCAGTACAGGTCTGGCTTTGAAAGTGATGGGGTCCTATGTAGCTGATCTGTGCCCAGGTACATCATGCCAAAGAAAAATGAGGGTTGAGTGGAGGTCTGTGCATGGAGCTGCCACAATCCAAGCACAGGATGGTCCTGTGGTGGGTGGAGTGTGTTGCCTGCGCATGCCTGGATCCCATGTTACTGGCCCCATATGAAGCTGGTGGCAGGACAATGAAGGTGTGGGCACACAATGCCCCTGCTCCATAGGACCCCCAGGCAGCCAGTCATATCCATCTCATCTGAGTGAGGAACTCATGACCTTTTTGCACCCATAGCTCTGATCCCCATCCTGCAGTATCCATGCAGGCAGAAGATTCAAACTGCCTGACTGCAACAACTACCCAAATAGATGGTGGGGCAGTATGCATATGGCTGCGTCCTTGCCCTCCTGAGTAGCCTCTCTAGTTTGTTGTGTACTGACCCATGTACCTCTTGAGGTGAAGCTGGCCACCCTTGCAAGGGCTATTTCTGGGATGCAAAAAGTGATTTCTTCCTGCACTGGAGAAAGTGGTTTACAGAGCAGGGAAGGAATCCTACTGGGAGAGGAGCTGCATTAAAAACTTGAGGGTTGGTTGGTGAGGGTCTGCTGCTGGGAGCCAAACTTCCACATCAACAGGCAAAGGGATGAAGACTTAACATGAAATCTGTTGCAATGGAAAAAAATTGAAACCGAAATCAGCAACATGTAAAGAATTTTGGTATAGTGCACTTATAAAAATAACATGCAGGGGTTGTACAGAATGCAAAAACAATGCATGCATTACTTGCGTGAAAATACAGTACATTACAAATGTGAGTGATCAGCATGGTGGCATTGAGGAAGAGGAAGACATAGGTGCATGGGAGGTACAGACAACAAAGATGAACCCTTTTGCACACACAGCACTGCATTGTCAGGGAAGGCAAACATTGATAAACAGGTGGATAGATGGGTGGAGAGGCTGAACTATTAGGTATATCTATGCAGTGGGGGAGTGTGCCCAAGACCATGTATAGGGTTGGCAGACAATGCTTCTACAAGTGCATTGGTATGTTCTGTAAGAATTCCCAGGTATATAGTAGAGCTGACAAGGGACAAGGTTGTAGTCACTTCTCAGCCACAGCCAGCTACCTAAAGGGAGTAAAGTTGGACCTGTGCACTTGGAACTGTAGTTGCAGGGGACATCAAGCTCAATTGGCATAACATACTACACAAAAACATTGTTCCACATCCTACTTTGTCGAGTAGTGACTGGGATCTTAAAAGCTTGCAAGCAGCCATCTAGATGCAATGATGGGTCTCTCCTCGTCCAGAGCAAAGAATGAAGAAAACCAAAGATTTGTGGGAACAGTTAGTCCAAGGGACTGATATACCA